CAGAAGTGTCAGGATACGGTGCAGCAGAATATCTGGGTTAATAACAAGGAGCTGGAGGTGTAGTCATAGTATAAAGCTCAGCAAAGAGGAAAGCAACTGGGGAAATATTAGTATTTGTATGAGCACTTAGAAATTTTTGAACGAAAATTTCAAAAATAAAATTTTATTAGTATTTTCAAAAATTCAGGAAAGAGTTGCAATGATCCTCCATATTTGGTGATTATAAAGAGATGTGACTATATAAAAAATTTCTTGTATTAGTATATCATAATTCCGGCCAAAAATTAACATAATTTTGGCCAAAATTATACTCAAAACTTTATTGTATCGTAACTCTGCCAATATTAATCGTAGAGAGATGATCTTACCGTCATTCAATTCATCTTGATGCGACGAATCTAATGGTATAATATACATTGAAATCCAATAACTAGATTAATTTCTGAAATTAAAAAAATATTAATGGTTTTTGTGTAATAAATCTGCCAATATTGATCCTAGAAAGACGATCTTACTACCATTCGATTCGTCTTGATGCGATGAATCTAATGGTATAAAATACATCGAAATCCAATCACTAGATCAATTTCCGAAATTAAAAAATATCAAATGGTTTTTAAGTAGTAACTCCGTCAATATTGATCACAGAGAGATGAGCTTACCACCATTCGATTCGTCTTGATAAAGCGATTCCAACGAGCTATTAATCATCTTTTTACTTTGCTAAGTTTATGGCCAGACTTCCCATTGCCTCTTATGAGACTAATTTCGGGTCTGTGTCCTATCATCTTCAATGGGCAATCATTATACCGAGTACATAATTCCTCAGGTAACAGCACACCTATAGAAGACATCTCCATCGAGCCATTTTAGGCTGATCTGAAGCTAGGTACATGCCGCCTACTCATCCTTTAATCCATTGCATGATACTGGTATTAATCATCTTTTTACAATCACTAGGTACCGAGAAATTTAGCAAAATGTTAAATGGCGCAGTAAACGTAAATCCAGAAATATAATAATGCTGATGCTTAACATTTTGTTGAATAACTCATCAGCCAGTGATCGTAAAGGGATAAAAAATACCACCATTCGATTCGTCTCANATCTATATCCTGTCTCTTATACACATCTAGATGTGTATAAGAGACAGCTATGGTACATCTTTGTACGATTATTAGATGCCAAGTTATTTAATATATTCTTTATATAACTGTGATTATAAATGGTTCTTTTTAATATAAGATTTTTGAGGATAGGTGTGATAGTGACTATAGATAGATTGGTACTATATAGGATAGATTTTAATAATAAAGTGTTTTGAACATTCAACTGGTGTGACTATATAGTAGAATGTGACTATAACGGGAGTGACTATAGAAGGAGTTGACTGTACTGTGCCATTTCACGTTTTACCAAATATCTCTGCAACTAGTGATCGTATAGAGATGCACAATAGCTCATTCGAATCGTTGCATCAAGACGAATCTAATGAGCTTTAGAACATCTTTCTATGACCACTGGATGTCGAGATATTCAACAAAACATCAAACATTGGCACTTTTTATTTTTGTGATAATGTGCCATTTACATTTTGCTAACTATCTCAGCATCTAGTGATCGTACAGAGATGCACAATAACTCATTAGAATCGTCTCATTGAAACCAATCGAATGGTACTAAATTCATCTTTCTACAATCATTCGATACTGAGATATTCGGAAAACCTTAAAACGGCACAGTATCGCAAAATGAAAAATGCAGGTTTTGACATTTTATTGAGTATCTTGACATTCAGTGGTTATAGAAAGATGCTCTAGGGGTTGGTCACCCTATCTTAGTGGTTAGTCACTGAGACCCTCATTAAGCCTGAGTATGGTGAATTCGCAGGTTCGATTTCTATGACTACGAAAATAAAAAGAATTTTACTGCGAACGCTACAAACAATAGCGTGAAGGTACAGGGATTAGTGTAGTTGGACTGCATCATGGTGAACATTTCAACTAAGGGTCATGGTGTCCTTCTAATGTTCCCCATGAGGCCATTGGCATATGTGCGCAGTCCTGTTCTTGAGGTCACTACTATATCTTGGGGGACTTCCTGTCCAGGTGGTCACTCCATGATACCGCTTGGAGTCAGTAATGGCTAAATGGTTGTCCTAGACGGTAAAGCTGATGGTGCAATGTCTTAGTGGTAGTTTGACCTTCTGTTAGATCTTAGACCAACCAAGGTGTTCATGCATAGAACAGGTAGCATGGTTATGAGATTTGATTCCCTACTCTTTGGGTCCTGGTTGGTGGTTCCTGGTGGTTGATACTCACCATAAGGGGTGATCCTGGACAGATGCCTGCTACTTCCTGTCTGAGTGGTCACTACAAAGTATACCACTTGGGGTAAACAACTGTACTATCAGTGCTAGGTAATCGCGGGCTGTAGTGGCCTTTGAGTGAGACTTAGTACCTAAAAATGGTTGTATGAAAAGGTACTAGATGGTTGATGCTACCTGTCAAAAGTTTTCCATGAAAGTAAGTGCTCTCTAAAGGTCGTAAAATAAATTGAGTAACAGTATCATGCAATGGGTTTAAGGAAAAGTAGGCAGTATATTTCTAGCTTTAGATCAGCCTTAAATGTGGCCCGATGGGAAATGTCCTCATATATGGTGCTGTCTGCTTGAGGAACAATAAGTACTCAGTGGTATGGTTACCCTTGGGGATGATAGGATACTAGTCCAATGATGCTTCATAAGAAGTAAAGGGAGACTTGGCCATAAAAACTCTAGCAAAGTAGAAAGATGCTCTAAAGCTCATTAGATTCGTCTTAATGCAATGATTCGAATAAGCTATTGTGCATCTCTATATGATCACTGGTTGTCAAGATATTCAACAAACCATAAAATGGGGCAGTATCGTAACTTGCAATATATAAAATGCCAATTTTTTATATTTTGTTGAATATCTCAGCATCCAGTGATTGTATAAGGATGAAATTAGTGCCATTCGATCCATCTCAACGAGAAGATTCTAATGATTTATTGTGCATCTCTGTAGCTCACAATTTTAAAAAAATCCAATCCAGTTTCTGGTTTCTATCCAGATTATCTGATCTGGATTTAAAATCTGGATTGACCTGGATATAATCCAGATTTTTTTTTGTGTAATCCGGATGATGGTTTTCATTCGGGTCAAAGCACTATATTAACCTGAATAATCTAGAAAATAAAGAGCAAAAAAAACTTACGCTAACATGGAATAGATTAGGCACAAGCATAAAATATATTACACAATTCAAAACTATTTATACATGCTAGTCTAAACGTTACGATTTTTTTATGTATTTTTTGTTATACAGATTATGATCAAATTATGCAAATAATGCATTTTTGTGATATGGAATTGTCATTTTCCCATATTCCTATATAGATTAAATACATTTTTTAAGAAAAAATTGCATAAAACCTAGGTTCTAATTATAATAAAATTTATTATTCAGTGATATTTAAAGCTCCCTGCTATATTTAACATTTACTTGTTAGTAAAAAAAAAAATTATTCCACGATCGTCATCTATATCAATTCATACTAGACCCAAATTAACTATTGAAATTCATCCATGAAATACTTTATACCTTTGCATCTCTTAAATTTGTCATTTTTGAAGTTTTTCAATGTTTACAAAACAAGAAATTATTCCTTTCAGTCACAGCATTTTTATAATCATCTGGTGAACGGTTTATTGGACAAACCTTTAATTTTATTTTTCGAACAAAATAAAAAATCATTTACAGATCCAAATCATACAAATTTGGAATAAAAAAAAAATGATTTTGATTATTCTTTTTTTAAAGAGAACATTGAAAAAAAAAGTTATCCATGTTTATCAATTTATTTATTTATTTATTTTATCTATGTGGTAATTGTGGTTTATTCTTTATTTGTTATAAAAATAATTAGAAAGTATAAAATAAAAGGATTTTGATTTGTGTATTTTAGAGATTTAATAAATCATTTTATAATATTGTTACTCATAAATATTGAATCACAACATGATTAAATAAAATAGATAATTTATTAAAAGCTCCTTCAAAAATACAATCTTTGACCACTTAATTACAAATACTGTGCGCGAACTAACTTTCATAAATAAAAACTGACTTATCATTACTAGTTTACTAAATAAATTTCGATCTTAAAATTACCTATTGCAATTTATATTAATTTAGTAAAAAGCGTTTTATATTATAAAAGTAATTTTATTTTTTCAAATTCCTTCATTAATTTGTAATCTAAAAGAGGAATAGATTTAATGCAATAGAATAAAGTCAATTTCTTTGATAAATTTTGCTAATAATAAATATTCACTAGGATATTTCAAAAATTTTAGATGTTTAATAAAGGTATAAATGTATATTAGAAATTTTATTTATAGGCATTATAGTCTACAATGTTATTATTTTTATAGTTTTGATCAAGCTATTTGCTCAATTACAAACTGATTTTATTTTTGTAAAAATAAATTTTACATGTACTCTATAATCAAGTGTTGAACAAATATATAAATAAGAATAAATAATATAATACTATAGGTTATTTTCAATCTAGCTAACTTATCATGTTAAAAATAAAATTTATTCATTCGTCGTATCATCTTTGATTTATAATTTTATAATCTGTACAAAGAATTGGTTTTGGGTTAAATAAAATAAAATTATAAAATTTATAAAATATATAAAATTTATAAAACTTACTTTGTAAAATCAATAATTTCTACTGTGTTACTGTCAATATTATCATATTTTGGGATATTTTTTGTAAATGGATTAAGTAATCGTGATGCATAAATAGCTTGTGGATGATTAACTAATCGTTTGTTTTCATCAAATGATGTGAGATGTAATTTTCTGTATTCTTCTGCTTCTTTGAATTGTTTTTCCATTTCATAATGTTGTTGTTCCTTTTCAATTCCCATATAACTTTTAAAATTAGCTGTATTATAGCAGCCGATAAATAATTTAATTGATTCAAAAATTTCAGTTGCTTTTGGTCTATTATCTGGATTAGAATTCCAACACTGCTTCATCAAGTCAATATAACATTTTGGCGCTTCTGGCATATTAACTTCAGGTCTATTTCCATTACAAATATTTAATACTAAAAACTCATCATGTGCACAATCAGCAAAAGGTTGCTTTCCAGTTGCTACAAAATACATGATCATACCAAGACTATATACATCCGCTGCTTGAGTAAAAAGTTGCCCTTTTAACACTTCAGGAGCTACATAAGGTATAACTCCATAAATATTATTTTGATCGATATTACTAACATCTCCACATAATCCCATATCTGAAATATATATACTGTTATCATCCGTATTTGAATCGATTGTGTTTAATAAGATATTTCCTGCATGAAAATCACGGTGGACCATCTTCTTTTGATGAATTTCTTTAAGACCCAGACTAATATTATAAAGTATAACCAATTTTTCTGACCATTTAAAATTGTTATAATTTTTGTTCATCCAATAATTAAAATTTCCACCTTCCGCATAATCAAGAACTATAATGTATTCCTTTGTATCTGGATTTTGAGATATTCCATATATTTTAAGTATTTTATTTTCAGAATAAGTTTCATGTTCTTTAATTGAATATAATTTAGCCTATCAAAATATGAAAGAATACTATTATGTTAAAAAAATATATAATTAGTATTAAATTTACAGAAAAGTCACATACCTCATTGAGAAATTCACTTGTGATATTTTGTGAGTTATATAAACATTTTAATGCAACTTTTTTATCCTGGTTTCTTGTATATTTTTGTGTACCAATATTATACAACAATGGACCATCAACCCATATTGCTGAATATACTTTAGCAAAGCCACCTTTGCCTATCTCTTTAATATCATCAAACTTATCATATGGTATCCATTCAAATACTATATCGTCATAAGAATTGATTTTTGATCGCATTTCCCGGATTAAATTATCAATTTTTTCAATTTTACTGGTCAAGCTTATCTCATTAATTTGACACGGTTTGCACCATTTATAATCGTTATCTAGAATTTTACCGCATTTATTACAATAAAGTCTATTCGGAAATGATATAATATAATTTTTCGTATAAGGATTTTGAGATATTCCATACATTTTAAGTTCATTATTATTAACCTAATAAAATAAAGGAAATTTATTATTTTATTTTAAAATATTTAAATTAAATAGAAAGTTAATACCTCATTTAGAATTGCATTAATATTTTGTGAGTTATATGATTTTAAATTGACTTTTTTATTCTGTATTCCTGAATATTCACGTTCATCATCGTCATATTGTAATGGACCATCCTTCCATATTGCTGAATATATTGTAGAAAATTCATCTTTTCTTAACTCTTTAATATCATCGAACTTATCATATGGTATCCATTCAACTATAATATCATAAAATTCGTCGATTTCTAATTGCTTTCCCTGAATTAAACTATCAATTTTTTCATTTCCGCTGGTCCAATTTGCGAAATTTTTCTCTAGAGTATTTAATTGACATGTTTTACACCATTTAGAATAATCATTTGTAAATTTTTTACCGCATTTATTACAATAGACATTTTGAAGAACTAAAATGTAATCTTTTGTATCTGAATTTTGGGATATCCCATATATTTTAAGTTCATTATTATTAGCCTAATAAAATAAAGAAAATTTATTATTTTATTTTAAGTATTTAAATTAGATAAAAAATTAATACCTCATTTAGAAATCCATTAATATTTTGTGAGTCATATAATTTTAAATTGACTCTTGTACTCTGATTTCTTGAGTATTCACGTTCATTTCCGTCATATTGTAATGGACCATCCTTCCATATTGCTGAATATATTGTAGAAAATTCATCTTTTCTTAACTCTTTAATATCATCGAACTTATCATATGGTATCCATTCAACTATAATATCATAAAATTCGTCGATTTCTAATTGCTTTCCCTGAATTAAACTATCAATTTTTTCATTTCCGCTGGTCCAATTTGCGAAATTTTTCTCTAGAGTATTTAATTGACATGTTTTACACCATTTAGAATAATCATTTGTAAATTTTTTACCGCATTTATTACAATAGACATTTTGAAGAACTAAAATGTAATCTTTTGTATCTGAATTTTGGGATATCCCATATATTTTAAGTTCATTATTATTAGCCTAATAAAATAAAGAAAATTTATTATTTTATTCCATATAAATTATTTCTTTCAAAATATACCTTAACGTATTATAATAAAAAAAATTGTTATTATACGTAAAATAATTAAGTTAAATAAAGAGATTCATACCCCATTTAAAAATTCATTAGTAATATTTTGTGAGTTATATAATTTTAAATTGACTTCTGTACATTGTTTTCTTGAATATTCACATTCAACTTCGTCATATTTTAATGGACCATCTTTCCATATTGCTGAATATATTGTAGAAAATTCATCTTTTCCTAACTCTTTAATATCATCGAACTTATCATATAGTATCCATTCAACTATAATATTGTCATATTCATCGATTTCTAATTGCTTTCCCTGAATTAAACTATCGATTTTTTCATTTCCACTGGTCCAATTTGTGAAATTTTTTCTTAGATCATTTATTAGACATGATTTGCACCATCTCCGTATAAAATAATTATAACTATATTTTCCGCATCTTTTACATTCACCATCTTCATAATCACCATATAACATTATAAAATTTTCAACGTTTGCAAAAAAATAAAAAAAATAAAAACTCAAGTTCCTTATTAACTGGCTGCATTTATGCCATTGTGCAGAGATCGTCATGTTATGCATTTGTGTAACACTAATATGATGAATGAGCGAATTAAAATCGTTGTAAAACAAATAAGTTCGGTAGAAATTTAACCGAAATCAAAGAAATCGGCTCTTGATTTAACCGGAACTTGTGACTTGTGTCGATCTTTAGGACACGTGCAGACAATTCTTTAAAGATGGTCCTAAAGACCATCGGCCTACGGGACCGCAGTCTTTTACGGCCCTCATGATCGTCCGATGGATCAACAAGACCGACGGTCTTTTTAGGATCGTGGTCTTTGATCAATATTAATTATTTATAGATCGATTACATTACAGCTGTTTTTATATTATTCGAGACAAAGTAAAATTTTGAACCCGACATCTGGTCTGGTATGTCGGATGTCGGATTGTTACGTGATATTTTTTTTTTGTTTATAGTTAAACGTAACTCATAAACATAAATATGATATGAATCAATAGTTCATATGTTAATTATTAAAATAAATGTTTCTGGAATAAAAATTATATTGAAAATTAGTATACTTTTTTGTGCGTATATCCAAGTCTAGGTAAACTTCAATCAGAAATGGAATTTCGGATGTGAAGAAGTCTAAGTATTTCAACATTATGCCGAAGTTCATGCAAATACCAGTCAACCCTTTCTTTAAGCAGGAAAATTCGTGGTCTACCTAATAAAGGAAGCTTTTCTACACGTAAAATATTGGCATCTAATATGTAATGAAAGCTTTGATTTTGTCATGATAGCATAAAATAATTGGTATACCGGTAATTGAACTTGTTTATTTTGTTTGTTTATTTCACCATTTATCATTTAGTATAAATCTTGATTCACGTGACTTCAAAATTTTACCTTGTCCGAATAATATGAAAACAGCTGTAATTGATCTCTTTTTTATTTTTTTAGTAAAACTTCTAATACATACAAATAAATACAAACTTTTGTTAAATGAGAAATTATGATTTTTTTTTTGTTTATAATATAAATTTCAGCTGTAAGTTTATAAATCAATTACTAGTTAATTTTAGTTTATTCCAATCTTCAATGGTTAAAGTTTTTGAGAACGAGATTGTGAATAATCAAGTCGTTTACTTGTAAGCAAAATTTGCGATTTCTTCGTAGGTATTGGCCAATTTTACTAATTCTTAATTTCTTGTAGCTTGCTATCCTTATTAAGTTCTTCAGTTGAATAGTTGTTATTCAAAACATGAAATAATTTACGAAACGCTTCTTCCAATTCCTTGGTCATTGGACGATTGGAAGAAACTGGATCCCAACAACGTTAAGGTGTACAGTATCATGTATGTTCTGGAATTTGTGGCGTTGACCATAACAAATAACCAAAGTTAAATTCTCATCATATTACCTGTCAGTTCCCTACTGATCACTTTGACATTATCATCCCAAATCCATAAATATCTGCTGCTTTGGCCAATAAAACTCAGTGTTCGGAAATGACCTGGTCATTTGACCTTTTAAATGATTTATGAAATCATTTGTCATTATTCATAATCATTTGTCATTTGGTCATTTCAATCATTTGATTTTGATTGGCTAATATTTATCACATAAATAATCATGTGACTATAATTAAAAAATAATGAATGTAGTGTAGGCAAAAATTATAATGCTGACCAAAATTACATTCAAATGACCAAGGTCATTTGTCATTTAAGCATTGAAATGACATGTCATTTGTCATTTGTCATGCATGTCTGAAATGTGTGCCAGGTTTATGGCGCATTGTGGTGCTGCGATTTTTTCCAAAAAAATTAAATTGTAATTTTTTTTATTTAAAATAAAACCTTTAAATTCCTGCATTAGGTGTATTTTTGTCCGCTCTGCAAATTTACTTAAAGCATATACGGGTGGTTTAGAAGGCCATTTTCGAGTTATTTAACAAAAACTGTTCTTTCGACAAATCCAATTTTGGAAATGATCGGCAAAGACGATAAAATCGGTTGTTATATACTAAAGTCAAAATCTACTTCCAAAACCTCCTTCCATTTATAAGTGAATTTTGTAAAACAGATGAAAATACATCTAATGTGTAAATTTGAAAGCTTTACATTAAAATGAAAATCTTTAACTTAAATCTTTTTGAAATTACTGCGCCACACTGCGCCGTCAACCTGGCACACATTTCAGACGTGCATTTGTCATTTGAATCATTTGGTCATTTCAAGTCATTTTCCGAATACTGATAAAACTTGGTGCGACAAATGGTAAGACGTCACATAGTGTTTTATCTGGAAAACTTTAATCCATAGGACGATACAGACCAAAATCTGAAATCACAAAATTGTATTATCAGAGTAAATTGAGTTCAATATGTTGCCATTGCGGAAATCTTTGTGGTGGTAATATGCAATATGAACATTTTTCAAGTTAGGTTACTATATTTTTTAATCATTCCCTCAGATTACTGAATGCCGTAACAATGGATCACGAATCGCTCCATATATTCTAAGTAAAAATTTCACTTGAATTAATTGATATCAATCTAAAATTTTTTTTTTTTTTGTTAAAAAAACTTTATCAGAAAGATTTACAGAACGTTATTACGTTATTAGAGCATAAACCAGCATGTACACGCTTTTTATGATGTAGATTATAAATGTAATAGTTCACCACCTTACACAGAAGAAAAAACTGATACCAAAAAAAAAAAAATCAGGAAAATAACAATATTATATACTATTGATATTGCAATAAAATTCTGAATTGAACACGTTTAATTCTTAAATTTCGTAGTCTTATAGTGAATCTTATAAATTAATTATTTATTACTATTAAATCATTATTAATCTAATTAAGTTTGTAAAAAATACGGTAAAATGTTTTATTTAAATATTGAAACAACAATAATAAATAATAATAATGATAAATATTAAAAAAGTACGTTAATAGATTTTTAATAAACTTATTTATTTTCATTATCATCTTCCTCATCTTCAATATAAACTTCTTCATATACATTATCATCTTCCTCAATACCTGCTTCATTTTCATCTGCATATAATACCTTTAAAGTTTTAACAAACTTGGGAAGTTTATATAATTCACCAATACTTACCTACATTAAATCAAAACTAATTCCAACTCTACCATGATCATCGGTAAATACTGGTACTTTTGGATACCAATGAGTTAATAATAACAAGGTATGTGCATTCATCCTATTGTTTTTTTTTAAAAAAAAAAATTTTAAGATTGTTAATAATTATTAAGTAAAAAAAATTAATATATATATTAAATATACAACACACCTTTCACCTACTGAAACGGCTTCTTCCGTTATACTATGATTTTTACTTAAGGCTTGCTCTGTCAAATCATTCTCAAAGGTTGCCTCGTGAATTAAAAGCGTAGCGTCCTTACCAACACGCACAAGATCCTCACAAGGTCGAGTATCACCAGAATAACTAAATTATAATAAATAAATAAATAAAATTGTAAAAAGATTATTAGTATTAATTAATTAAAATGATTTATTTTAAAAAAACGCGTTAAATTTTCTTTTCATAAACTTACACAATTTTCTATCCATCAGAATGTTCTATGCTTATACCAAAAGAATTAGGACAATAATTACTGCCACAGTCTCAACTTTACTAATTCTCATCGAGTTCTTCAAATATTGTAGGCTATATTCGTATTATATTAGAAATTGTATAAATTAATTTAATTATGTTTAATGGATCTCTTTCAATAACTTTCAGTCTCTTTCATAATAATAAACTTACCTATCTAAACTAGTATTATTCCCTTTTTGTTGCTTCCAAAATAAAAGGTCTTTATTATCTGTAAATTTAACTTTAGAAAATCCGATATCCTCAACATCACTATATTCGTCAAGCCATTTCTGTAATCTTGAGGGTCCAAATACGGAAATTGTTGCATCATCCACACCCTTATGTATCTATTATCTTGCAAAAAGGTTAGGTATTGAGAAAGTAAAAAAATTTGAAATAAAATCTTATAATATTAAATTTTTTTTAAAAAAAAAATAAATAAATAAAATCAATCAACCGTTTACCTCATTCCATTTCTTTAAAACGCGAACTATGCCAAGATGGTGATCTGCGTGCATATGCGATATAAAAATACATTTCAAATTGCTTATGCGACTCTCTAAACTTGTTTGGTCATCACCATGAGGTTGATCATATGGTCCAAAGTGTCTTGACATTGAACCAAGTGTTCCTTCCCCAACATCGAGAAGAATAAATCCATTATTTGGAATTTTAATCAAGGTTGCACTCACTAATCGTAAAAAATTTGTGAGATAAATAAATAATTGCTTTTATTGTAAATAATAATAAAGAATTTACCATTTCGATACTTCGAGATCCTGTTCCAAGTGTTGTGATAATAACGTCTTTACCGGGGATATTTTTTGCTTCTGAATGCGATCTCGCAACTTCCTGCTTAACTTCTTCCGCAATGTTTAGATAATCATCTGATGACTCTAATAATTTACCAGATTCTATATTATGATCAAATACAGGTCCTAACTGGGACATATCAAGTTTAAAACTTGGTTCTGTTTGATATATCATCATTGGAACGGCGAATGATGCCTTCTTAGGAATGTTATCCACTACATTAAAAAAAATAAAAAATTAGAAATTGAGATTCTGTACTATTAAAATTAAAAGGATAATATACAAACATGATTCCAATTGTTTGATTGGTTCATTAGAATAATACGGAATGCGAAAATGTTTTTTCATCAATTTTAGACAATTTCAACTGACTAAGCGCCGAACTGTAAAAAATAATTCGTTGAGGACAATATTTCTCATTTGCAATGATAGGCTAATAATAAATAAATGAAACATTATGTTAAATTATGTGACTAAATTTTAATATAATTACACATAAATTAATATTATATCACTCTCACCTCAGTTTCTGGACCAAATTTGTTCATCCATTCCTGATATCTTTTATCTTCTAATACACCGTTTCCAACCATATGAATAATAACTCGAGGTTGTGTATCCTTATTACTTTTCTGATATGTAACAAATTCAGGTGACTCACACACTGAAGAAATATACGAAGTAGAAGGAACATCCAATATAATAAAAGTCTAAATATATAAAATATTTAATTTAATTAATCTATAAAATTTAGCAATATTAATTTGATTATTACCATCCCAGGACGTGATGGATCCATAACTTGATGCGGATGGATGACAGTACCGTCTGGGGCTGTAACAGAATTTCCTCGCATCAAATCAGCTGTATAAAATCAAATAAGTTAACGAAAATGATAAATTGTTATTAAAAAAAATTTTAAATTATTAGATAAATATCCTACCATATTGGGGTCCAGGTTCCAACTCTAATGCTTTTGCAGCAAGTGGATCAAACTTTCCTTGTAATCAGGTCCTTTACAAATATAAGCTACTGATGTAAAAGAATGTTGGGATTTCGGTAATCTTTTTGGAAACATTTCTTTTCTTCTCTCACGTAACGAGTCTTTATTATCCCCACGATTTGGTGAAGACTTTCCACTATTTGATTTTTTTGACGTTTGCGTCGTTTGATTATCCTGAGGTTGATCAGAAATATTCATTGCTGTGCCAATATCTTCATCATACTTTGATCTTTTCTTATTCGATGATTTAAGATCATTGAATAATTGACCTTGATTAAACATCAATGATAGAATTTCCTTTTTGTATTTTAACGTAGAATTACTATTAATTTCATCCAAAGTGGAATCTCTTGTACGTTTTGTACCAGTTTCAAGATTTTGTGTTGAAGATGACGAAGAAGTAATATTTTTTTGCCATTCTGGATAAAGAAATACTGGAAGAATTGTTAAATTTTCATCTTTAAATTCCATTCCATCTTCTTGAAATTCATGTGTTTCTACTGACATGGTCGATCTAAGCAAACGACAAAAAAAATAAATAAATCGGTATATCGAAAAAAATAAAATACTAAATTTTTTTTTTTCTGTAATTACCTCATAACGAAACCTCTTCTACGATCTGTCTCTTATACACATCTAGATGTGTATAAGAGACAGCCTCCAACATATTCCCAATTAACTCTAGTAAGAAAAATATTTTTTGTCTTTATGAGTCTTAATTTATTTTGTAAACAAATTCTCTGGGTTCCTTCACCACAATTAAATAAATTTATCTTTTACAACCTTTTTGATTATCATAATGAACTAATACTGAAGGATTAACATCAAAAGCTGTCTCTTATACACATCTAGATGTGTATAAGAGACAGGTTTTTAGTAATAATGATGTATTAGTGATCATAAATAAATTTATTTAATAAGGGTCTTGACTTTAGGATAAGTCGACCGGATAAAGGAATACAATTTTTTTTTTTTTTTTCTTAAAAAACAAAAATCATAAGTTATTTTGGTTTACAATAATTTAAATAATTTAATAACTTATTATCGAGGTCAGGAAAAAGATTTGAAAAAAAAAATTTTTTTTTATTTTTATTATTTAATTTGTCGTTACACAAATACTTTTTAGAATTTTGTGTCATTCTGAGGAAAATTTAATCGAAAAAAGTTTTTTTTTAATTTTAATAACAGATTTATAATAACTAATATAAATAAAATTATGAAGCATCACTAAAATCATCATCCTCCTCATACCAAGGTCTAGATTTTCTAATACTTCTCGAAGATAATATAGTAGGATCATCAATAATAATATCTTTTGTATCTTTATCAATATGAATAATTTTTTTTTCATTAGATAATTCTTCTAAAGTTAAACCTTTTGTTTCAGGTATTAATAAAGTAAATAAAAAACCAATAAAAGTGAAAAAACCAAAAAATTTAAATAAATGATTAACGGATTGATTTTTTCCTCCAATATCTTTTAATTTTAAAAATACGAATTGAGAAATTATAGCACCTAATTTACCAGAAGCAGCAGAAATTCCATGACAAGTTGAACGATATCTTGTTGGAAAAACTTCACCTGGTACGATAAAAGTGGTTGCATTTGGACCAAAATTTTGAAAAAATTGGGATAAAGAATAAAGGATTATAAATAAAGGAATTGATTTTGTAATAATTTCTTTATAACCAAAACCAATAATTATAAATATTATTGTAAGTAAAGCGAAACCTTGTAATTGAATATATTTTCTACCTAAAGAATCTACTAAAAATACTGTAAACCAATAACCTGGTATTGTACCCATAAGAGTTATAACAATATTTCCAATAGAAATATTAAATAAAGATTGATAAGCATCTTCAGTTTTTACATAACCTATAGCTTCTAATATTATAGCATTATTTAAACCAATACCATAATAAGCAATATCATGAGCGAACCAAGTAACAGAAGTTCCAAGTAAAACTTTTCCATTTTCCCATTGTCCAAAATGATGTATGAAATCTTTCCAAGTAGCTTTTTGTATTACGATTCTATATTCTGATTCAATTTCATATTTTTCAATATATTTACCCTGTTCTAATGCAAATTTAATATTATGAGCAGCTTTATCAACATTTCCTTGAACATCTATAGTAAATCTTGGAGTTTCAGGAATTGTTAAACGAAAATAAAGTGCGATTGTAGCGGGAATAATACCGACACCAATAATGATACGCCAAACATAATCAAGATTTTGTGAATTTGATAAAATTAACGGTCGAAAAGCTAATAAAGTAACAAGAGATACAACTCCAGCGAATAAAATTCCAAATCCTTGCATCGCAAAAACGGCCGCCATCATTGCTCCACGCCTTTTTTTACTCGCAAATTCACTTGTTATAACTAAACGAAAAATTATAATTAATTTATATCTTACAAAAGCAAAATGATGAATGTAATTTAAATAATTAAATACTTACTTGCGGATAGAGGATAATCACCGCCGATACCAAGTCCAAGTATTAAACGCCATACAATTATGATAGTATACATATCAATTGATAAATTTTTTGGTGATAAAGCAGAACCAATTGTTGTAACAATAATTATCATAAGTTCAATTCCATACATCTAAATTTATGTAAGAAAATAAATTTATAAAATCAAAGAATTATGCATTTCTAACTTTAAAAATACGAACTTTCTTTCGACCAAATCGATCGGCCATCCAACCGAAAATCAATTGACCAAACATAGTACCAATTGCAGCAGATGATTTTAATCCCGAATCAATATCGGTTGGTACCTCATTTGCATTTATACTACTGAAATAAGTATAACCCAATATTGCTGAAACTAAATTAATTGAAAATAAATCATATGCATCTGTAAAGAATCCTATACCAGCGACCAAACATGCGCGAATATGAAACCATCCAAATTTAGCATTATCGATTTCTTCTAATGCTGCTCTACGTGTATCATCTAAATCTTCTCTCGAAGGAGATTTTGGATTTGATGTAGACATTGAGAAATGAATCAAGATTTACGAAATAAAAGCTGTTTAAAAAAAAAAAAATTTTCTTGAAGAGGCGCAAATATATATAATGGCTGTGCAGTGGCTGTGTCTAAACATAACACGTGAACGATTTATTATATTACCCGTTTAAGAAATTGCCATTTTATAGATTTAATTTCGATCCATGTGTTATCTGGATAGATTCTTTTAACGCATAATAACTTGTGAGTTTCTATTGTAAATGTCCGATGATTATTAAAAATATGGTTATAAAACTAGATTGTAAATTTAGAAAAAATACTGGTATAAAAAAAATGATTTTACGTATGAATTACCATAAAAAGTAAGATTTGAATCTAAATAATTGATGATTTACAAAATTTATTCAATTTAAGTGGATTATTTTTTTTAAATATAAACAACAATAAAAGCGATATCTTTCTTCAACGGATGATTTGTCTGTCTATTATTATGAATACATAATAAGACGATTTTGATATCCGAAAGGTTTATTAATAGGAAGACGTTGAATACTCAAAAAAAAATTATAATTTAAAAATGCTAAAAACAAAAACCAGTAGAATAATTTTTTTGTAAAATGTCATTAAAAAACCATTTTTATTTAAATAAGGTAAATTTTTAATAGAAATAAATAAATTTTGGTAAAAACTTTTGTTTAAAAAGTCTATCTTACGGTTAAATTCTCAATGATTAATCGCATTTGGTTAAGATAATTTCCATAACATTGTACGTAATCCCCTGGAGCGTGTCACACATTAAATATTAACTATTTTAAACTTAACTATTTTAGACTAAATTAGTAATTTCCCGGCTATCTATATGAGGCCGGACAATAAGTAAACGAAGATTCCCAGTCATTTGCTAATCACTCGCAATTTGTATGAAGGGACTGAAGGGTGATCACTTAGTACAACAGGGGATTGGGATTACATAGAATCTACAATCATCATTATTCTGTCACGTGTAAGGGCAATTCTATAGAATTTTACGCATAGTACAAATAATGAATCGTGTGTTACTTCTACTACGTTTTTATTTCATATAAAATGTTTTAAAAGTTCAAATTATTTGTTACTTGCTGTAAATCATCATACTGAATAGAGCTTTTGGAAACGTTGACAAATGATGACGTAATGGCCGCAGCGCAATCATATAAATGTTAATCCCGAACACGTGACTTTCTAAATCAACGAGATGTTTTTCTATCACTATTTCTGATGAAGACACAAAGTAGCCTTAAAAAACTTTAAATAAGAAATCATTTCAAAAAGTTAGACTTCAAATGGGAAAAACATTCAAATATTAGGGAATGTTAAAAATTTTCATAATTTTTATAATTTTTTTATATGATATAACATTTTAAAAACACCGCAATTTAGTTGTGATACTTTTTAGGCAGAACTCTTTCTTTTTATTTCGTTCGTAGAGAAAACAACAAAATGGTTGTATAGGGAAAGTATGACAGGCAAAGCGTGTCGGGAAATAATTATTCCTAAAATTTTATATTAAATTATTTTCTTCGACAAAAATATATATTGTATGTAGTAAAGTTTAAAAGATCTTGAAAAAATATTGGTATTGTAATAAGAAAACTCTTTATAGGACCTTTGATTAGAGAGAACCATTGTAAAATGGTTGTGTAAAAATTTGTACCAAAAATTTACGGAAAGAATCACTCTTTCGAAATGTACTATATATGAAATCATTCAAAATAAAAAAATCATGTGGTTTTTCCTGACCAGGGGTTAGCGAAATTTTGCCACAAGGGTTCAGGACGTAGCCCATATCGTAGTACATGACGAATTTTCTATGCTAATTATGTCAGTCTAATAAACATGCTTATTTTTTCAAACGATATTCCTCTATTTTAACCTTTTTTTTAAGTTGTGTAATGCGTCAGTTCTTTTAAATGAGTTCATAACGTTTAGAGTTACTGCGTTTTATTATTTTTCCGGTGTTGCAAGCACATTAGTTAAATACGGTCAATCGTACTACCAAAAAATTACGTAACAATAATCACAATCTAGTGTGTAATGATAAAACCGTACTATTCAAGATCAAATAGCTTATGAATCACAAATGTGACTCATATTTATAAATATTACTCATTCTATCTACAATACATGAATCTATTAATTCGCGTACTGATATATATACTCTCTAACTCTCAAACTCTCATAAAAACTACTAAACCCTTTTTTCTCCAAACTAAAATTTACGGATTTCGGCAATATATAGAAATATTTTATTATGCTTTTTCAAAAAAAAATGGCTCAAAAAAACCCGCTTTTTTTTAAGCAATGTAAAGATTATGTAAGATGAATTACAAGAGCAAGAAAAAAAAATTACTAGAAAACTGTAAGAAAAAGAACTGAAAGAAAATCAAAGAAAAGTAGAGAAAGTTTTTTTTGAAGGTAGGTTGTATTGGGTGGTATCCTCCAGTCCCTATTCAGCTTTTACAACCCCGTTTACGTGACTTTACAACATTTTGGACAACACACTTTCAACACCGGGCACTTTCACTGACTTTTGAGAAGTTTTTTTGTAGATAAGTCGCTTAAAGAACTCGAAAGGCAAGATGAAACCGAAAAATTTAACTCCAAAGAAGAATTTGCAGATAACGAGCTGAAGAACATAACACTGAAGTAAGAAAAAGCGTATATAATCATTTTATCATTTTATCATTTTACCATTTTAATTTTATAATATTCTTTTATTGTTTTTATTTTGTAAAATAGATTCAACTTTGATGTGAAAATTGTAATAATTCATATTGTAAATGCCGGCCAACTTATTGAAGCACAGATGGATATTGCCTAGAATGTTGTTATTGTAAATGTTGTAAAAAGAGGTTTAGTAATACAAAATCTGGGCTTCATATATTTTGATTATAAAAGCAGTTTAGTTAATATTAGCAAAAAATGAATACCACATTAACGTAACATGGCTGAATATTATGATCATTCTATCATTTTATCGTAACGAATTCCAAAGTTTATTATTATAGCGATTATTCATGTATAATAGTACATAATCTAACTATAAATTTATTTAGTACATCGTTCAAAATTTCTGTTATTATGATTTATGTAAAAAAGAATCCGTATTTTGGCGTATTTTGACATTAATAATCTTAAAAAAATTAACGTGAATCAAGAACGTGAGTCCAACCATAATAATAACGTGAAAATTTTTTGCAAAATGTATATAAATATTAAATATCATCTATACTCGCTAGTAAGTAGTAATTAAATAAATATACTGATTGTAATTGGTGAAACTTTGTTATAGAACAAAAGGATTGTTGAAAATATTTCGATTGAAAAAAAAATTGAATAGAATAACAGATTAGATTTTATATGAATCTTTATTATCATTATTTTTATTGAAATTATGTCTTTAAACGTTCAGATTAGCAAAGAACAGATACAATTGGAATTTACATTTAACAAAGGGATCTTTAATTTTCATTATCACATGAAATCGATCGCGTGACAACGTGTAATCAATGCAACGCGCACAACTCATAACGTTAACGCAAAGGTTGGAATAAAGTAATATTTCCTCATTCACCCATCTACTTTCGATATTCGAATAATTATTTTCATTTCATTAAAATTACGAAGGTAAAATTATTTCTTTTATTTATACTTGCAATAACTAATTTCATTATAATCATAGAATTGATAAATCATGATTGACAATGACTATGAGGATAATATTGAGGGCGATATGGACTTTGAAAGATATATTGACTGCGATTATAAATGTCATGAATGCAGTCAAGAAGATAGTATAGATTATTGTAAACCGTGCAACTCAGTACATTTCAGTGATAATTTCGCACATTGGATCAGTGGTGACTCGAATTTTGATGAGCTTATTCAAAATTCACAACTCAACGCAGATAATTCGTACAAATTTATTGAATGGATTGAATACTCAAATCGAAATATAGAATTTATTGCTCATGGTAGGTGTCTATAAAGCAATTTTGAAAGATGGTCCAATCATAAATTATAAACCTTGGAACTTTAACAAGTCTGAATAAAAAGGAAGCGGCAATAAAGAAATTTCGAAATGCGACACAGAGTTTTTGCGTGAAGTGAATAACATCAATTTTTTTTTTATATATTGCTTTTAGAAAAAAAAAAAGTTCACACAATGTAATCTAAATATATTATAGGTTGAAATTCTTTCAAAGTGGACACACTAATTACCGCTAGGATTTATGGAGTAACTCGTTCTCCACAAAGTTGAGAATACGCCATTGTGACTGAATTAAAAAATGGTGGAAATCTGAGCCGAATTAATGAGACATTGTTGGGATCCTGTTCCTAACAATCGTCCAACGGCTGTTGAATTGTGAGATTATTTTTATGAATTCTGGGAGGTTTTGAATAACAAATATTCAATAATCAAAATTAGTGAGAATCATAAAGAAAAATTTACTCGAGAACAAAAAAACAAGTGGAAAGCAATTTTGGTAGAATTGGCTACGAATCCTTCGAAAAAATCACAGAATATGCTTACTAGTAAAAGACTTCTTTCGTTGAAGATTGGAACATAACTGAAATTTATGTTTAATAATAGAAATTTGAAGTGTTATAATAATTCTAACGCATTTAACATTTTGAGAGTTAATTTTTTAATGAAAACTTTGGTTTATAACAGTAAGGATATTTTTTAAGAAAAATCATGTATAAATTAACTGAATTGAAAAAATTCTATTAACATGATTGGACTGAAATAATCGAAATATGGTATTTCATATATTTAGTTTTTCAAAAATAAATTAATGTTATAGGTATTATGAACGTTCATTTCATTTCACTCATTAACATTGATGCGTCCGTTATCTAGGATGAAGCTTGATAATACTGGATTCTTTAAAAAATTTATTCTGAGACTAAGATATTTTAGATTATGTAAAAAACTATTTTCAATTAATAAATAGCTTTTTTTATGGATGATTTATCTGTCTATTATCATGGGTACATCACATAAATTTCTTATGAGAATATTAATGTTTGATAACCGGAAGAATTTCATAGTTTTGTTTAATAGATGTCGTTGAATAATTAAAGTCTTAAATTATTACGTTAATATCATTAAAAATATTTTTATTTGAAAAAAATAAATTTTTAATAGAAACAAATAAATTTCAATAAAGAATAAAAATGTATTCTTCGTTTAAGATTCTATGCTTTTAGGTTTAATTTTAATCTAATTCTTAAATTCTTCTGCGATTAATAGGAAGTTGAAGATAATAACAATTCCGAATCTGCAATACGTACATGAATTGAACCAAAAAAAAATATTGGCAAAAAATTATTACGGAACTTGATTTCCGAATGTACTAGGTCCTGATTGGTTAGAACATTCGAGATAAAAACCTATTATAATCATTTTTTGAAAGTTTGAATAGGGTTTTTGTGAATCCGTTTGATAACTTTCTATATTAGTACAGTTTGAATGAGTTTATTGACAAAATTCCGGAGTGCGTAACCATATTCATTACCTACAGTATTGTATATCCTTTTATTTTGTATAAAATGCATCAAAGAAATGTAAAAATTTTCCTGTAATATAGATACTTAACTTCTAAAAGATTTCTAGCGGGCATAATATTATAATTTAATTCGGTTTCAAAAGCGTAAGGATGAATGATATTAACAATAACTATGAGGACGATATTGACTATGATATGGACTATGAGGAGAATACTGAGGATGATATGAACTATGAAAATGATATTAGCCATGGCTATAAATGTCAAGAATGAGGTCAAGAATATAATGGAGAATATTGTCGACCGTGCAATTCAGTACATTTTCGTGATAATTTTGCACATTGGACCAGTGGTGACTCGAAACTTGACGAATTAATTCAAAATTTCCAACTCAATGCGCCATTTTCTAGCCAATTAATTGAATGGATTGAATACTCAAATCTCGAAAATATTGAACTTATCGCTAATGGTGGGTTTGGAAGTGTATATAAAGCAATTTGGAAAGATGGTCCAATCATAGATTGGGATCCTTGGGACATGAATAAACACAAATGGCAACGGATAGGTGAAACGATAGTAGCAGTAAAAAAATTTCGAAATGCGACTCAAATCAACTCAGAGTTCCTAAATGAGGTGAATAACATTAATTTTTTTTATGCAAATATATTTATGTTAAAAAAAAATGTTCTCACAATATAATTAATATATTATAGATTAATATTACCTTAAAAATGAATAACTCAATTAACGATGTTTCTACAATTAAAATTTATGGAGTAGCTCGTGATCTACAAAATGGAGAGTATGCTATTGTTACTGATTTCAAAGATGGTGGTAATATGAGGGAATTTATTAAGAAAAACCACAGTGAACTAACTTGGAAAAAATTCATTAGGCTACTCATTCATTCCATTTGGACACTGTGGCAAATTCATGATAAAAATTATTACCACAGGGATCTCCACAGTGGCAACATTTTGAACTCAATTAACAAATACGATATTTCCCCAGCAATTTCAGATTTTGGTCTGGGTCGTCCTATGGATCAAAGTTCCACAGATAAAACTTCATATGGTGTCTTACCATTCGTCGCACCAGAGGTTTTACGTGGTGATGAATTTACTGAAGCAGCAGATATTTATGGATTTGGGATGATAATGTCAGAATTGATTAGCGGAGAACCACCTTTTGTTGATAGAGAATATGATATGAACTTGGCCTTGGCTATTTGCAATGGTCAACGTCCACAAATTCCAGAATATACACCTGAACCATATGCTAAATTAATGAAACGTTGTTGGGATCCTGTTCCTACCAATCGTCCAACGGCCAAGGCATTATCTAACAAGTTTAAGTGTTTATTAATTATTTTGTGTCCTGTTAAAGATGAATCAAATGAATCAATCGAACTTAGCGAAGACGATCTTAGCGAGGATTTTATCCTAGAAGTTGAAGAAGCATTTAGTCAGGAAAGGGAAGACAAGTGGAAATTACGACTAGCAGAGTTGGCTACAAATCCAATACCCTTAAAAAAATCACAAAATTTGCTAACCAGTAAACGACTTAATTTTTCAGAGTCCCTTTCTCTAAAACTTAGCGTTGAAGATTGGAATAAACTAAGATTAACCGATTAACTTGATAGAATTCATGTTTAAAAAAGGAAGAATTTCGATAAATAAGTTAAACATACGGATAAATTTTTCAATGATGATGTGTTATAACTTAATTTGTTTGAATTTAATATTTGATTATTTGAGTAGTATTGTAATTTTTGCATTTCATGATGAGTATATTAATTAAAAATAAAAATTTTTAGTTTATTGTTTCGTTGAAAGTTAAATAAAATTGCTTTTTACGATAAATAAAATGAATGTTTGGTGTCCGATATACACCAAATTTAAAAACATATTGAATAAAAGTTACTTAATATTTACGACCCTATAAAAAAAGAAAATTCGGAATTTGTCCTGAAAAGTATGGAAAATTTCCGGACATTTTCCATACTTTTCAGGACAAATTCCGAATTTTCTTTTTTTATAGGGCGAAACATTTAAATACTTTAAAAGACATGAAATAATCGATATACATACAAATATTTATGAAAAAAAATACAATATTTCAACGCTTTAAATTTTATTTTTTTAATAATTTTGATGTATTCTTTGTATTTACAATACTAAAGCCTTTTTTCAAATATTGTACGGTAGTAGTATTTATATTAGTTAACGTCACGAAATGACGTTAAACAATATAAATACAACACCGTCAGTTTTTATAAAATTAAAATCAAAATAATATATTAAATACAGTATTAATTTATTATACTAACGTTAAACGTTAGCTCAATTTTATATAAATTCATTCCATTCGTTAAAACGTCGTCTCGGACTAATCGGACTAATAATTCCAATACGATGATCAAAATAAGAAATTCATGTGTGTTTTACATTTTGCCATAACGCATGATGCATAATGATGATCTCATTCTCATAACTAGTTTTATGACTTGATTTTACGTACCATACATGTACTTATTCACACAAGTGTAACAACATGCATATCTAATTCTTTTAAGAAATGTATATTTTATTCTATTTGGAAAAATAGGAATAATAGAATTTTTAGAATATTCCAAAGATCTTTTAGTATTTTTCCTTTTTTAGATAATAAAAAAGATCATCACTTCTAGAATCCATTGTTTAAAAAATAAAATTTTCTAAAAGGAATATTCATAAAGAAAAAATTTTCATAATGTAAAACGGAAACTACACAAAGAATAATGTTACATTCTGAGAAAGAAAGAAGGAAAAAGTAAATATTTTTTTTTTTTCATTATAAATAAACCTTTTTAACGAAAATAATGGAACGTACTTTTTTTTTTTAAAAAAAAAGGAAAATTTATTAAAGCGAAAAAAAAATTATTTAATTATTTAAAATAATAATAAATTAAAATCGTTATTATTTCAATCGTTAATATTTCAAAATCAAATTAAACATATTTTCTAGTTAAACAAATTAATTATGTCACATAAATCAAGGAAAATAACATTTTTTTATAATAAAAGTAAGAAACGTCAAACAAATGATGATGATGAACAAATTTCGGAAAGAGGATCCAAAAATCCTCGTATTGAAACTAATGATGATTCAAGAATGATAATAGATGATGATAAAAATATACTTAAAACTTCTCCTCTATCAGTTTGTAATGATTCAATTGATAATCAATTAAATTCAACATCAAAAGGTTACGTTCAAGAAGATAATGAAGTTTCAAGTGAATTAAAAAGAATGAGTTTAAATAATATTAACCAATCAAAATGTGATGACAAATCAAAAACAGAATTATATAATAATAAATTAATTACTTTAACAAAAGGATTTTGTTGTATTGCTCAAAATATTGAAGAATTTACTCCTTTAATTAAATCTTTCCTTGCTTTAGGAAAAGAAATTATATCATTATATGAAAAAGCCGAACATCATAAAGAATTATGTAGTTTTCTTTTACAAAGATGCAATTGTGCTACGGCAACCGTAGAAGATTTATATATTAGAAAAACTGAGAATGAAAAATTTTTTTTTAAACAAGGAAATTTAAATTTATTTAAAGATTTTATAAAATGTATAAAAAGGATAAAAAATTTTATAGAAGAAATAAGTCAATTGGGTAAATATCGGAAATTTTTATTAGCCAATAATATTGAAGAAACTTTTTCTAAACTTATAACTGAATTTGATGGTTATATGAATAGTTTAAATTTTTCTTTTACTATCCAAGCTATTGATGAATTTAAAGTAATTAAAAATGAGACAAGGGAGATAAAAGAATTATTATTAAACGTTTATGGAGTTTCTGATGATAAACAATCTCAACAAAATTTTTTAAAAGATATGGATTCTTTGGCTGAAAGAAATAAGGAATTTCAAAAACAGAGTAAACAGAATAAAGTTTTGGATTCTTCAGATTTTAAATTATTAGAAGCGAATGAACCTTTACTGGACGGTAATGATTATCAAAGGACTAAAATTTGTCCTTCAAAAAGGATTGAAAAACGTACTTTATCTTCTGATGATAATATTATTCAAGAATTTTGTTTTAAAGAATTTTCAAATAATACTACAAATTCTCCTTCTGATGAATCTCAAATTGAAATTAGAAGACAAGTTAATATTCTTAAAGAATTAAAAAATACGAATAATATAATAAGATTTTTTGGTGTTGCTCAAGAAAATTCGAAATTTTATTTGGTTACTGAATGGATGGAACTTGGTAATTTACATGAATATTATACTAATTATAAAGATAAGATGAATTGGGAAACAAAAATTAGATTTGCTTTGGATATTTGTTGTGGTATTTCTTATCTTAACGATTGTCAGGTAAAAATAAATGAAAGATTTTTGAATGATCTTCAAAAAAATAGTAATTCTCATAATTCTCATGATTCTTTATTAATTCATTTTCACTATTTTTTCTTCTTTTTTTAGATTCTTCATCATGACATTCAGTCGGCAAACATTTTAGTAAATATAAATGAGAAAATAAAAATAACAAATTTCGGTTCAAGTAAGAAATTCTATGATCTTACTAGAAATATATCGCCTAATATTGAAAATGTAAGATACATGGCTCCTGAAAAATTATTATCAGTAGATAACGACACAAAAAAGGAAAAAGTTCCCTATGATTCAAAGTGCGAAATATACAGGTATGAATCATATATTATCATATAACTATTAATTATTTATTTAACCTATTTTTTTGATATTATGTAGTGTTGGAGCATTATTATGGGAAATCGCTGAATTGAAAAAACCTCATTCTGATCTTAATAAATCTGAAATCCTTGTCGGTATTAGAAATCGTGTTACTGAAAGATATAATTTACCATTTTCAGATGGTATACCAGATGATTGGAAAAATTTAGTTATAACCGGTAAGTTTAAAATAATAATAATAATTATTATTTTTTTTTAAAAAAAAACGAAATATAATGATTTATTAATATATTTAAAATGTTATTTATTAGCTATGTTACATGAACCAGCATGTCGTCCTAAAATATCAAAAATTTGTCATAAACTTCATAAATTGAGTAAAAATTATTCTAAATTCTCTACATTAGATGATTGTACTGAAGATTATGATGAAAATTTATCATCAATTGATGATAATCAAAGTACGATGACTTCATTTTTCACAATTACAATTCTTACTGTTGAAGATGCTATTCGTGCTCATAAATCAAAAAATGGAAATAAACAATTAGCTTGGCAAAGTTTTAAATATCATTCTGTAATCGATATTTACGCAAAATATATGGTTGGTTATTATTATTATCATGAAGAAGTTCCTGAATTACAAAAAATTAGTAAAGATGAAAGGGTTAGAATTGCTGTAGAAATATTTAAAGAAACTGCTGATAAAGGAAATCCTTCTGCTCAATTAAGATATGGAATATGTTTATGGCAAGGTGAAGGTATAAGTGCTAATTCTTTTGAAGCTCTTAAATATTTAAAATTGTCTGCTAATCAAGGAAATTCTGCTGCTATGTATGTTATTGGGAAAGCTTATTTAAATGGTGGTAATGGTATTGAACAAGATAGGGAGAGGGGTGCTAAATATTTAAAAGAAGCTGCTTTAAAAAATCATCTAAAAGCTAAAGAAATGTGTACTAAAAATAATATCGTTTTTTAAATATTTTTATGTTATTCAATACATTTAGAACATTTATAAGTAATATTCAAATATTTGTTTTATTTCAAATAAAATGTACAAAATTATATTATTATTTGCTATTGATTATACATAATTTATGTATTACGTAAAATTTGTACATCCAAAAATAAAATTTTCTACTACAAATATAATTTGAACTCTATTTAATTGAGGAATTATGAAATTTTTCTTCGTTTAAATATAAGTTTCAGCTACAAGTCTTATTAATCGGTTAATTTTAGTTTATTCCAATCATCAACGGTAAGTTTTTGAGAAAGATACTGTGAATAATCAAGTCGTTTACTGGTAAGCATATTTTGCGATCTTTTCATGGGTATTGGATTAGTAGCCAACTCTGCTAATCGTGCTTTCCACTTGTCTTCCCGTTCTTGACTAAATGCTTGTTAATTTCTAGCCTTCGATCCTCACTAAGTTCGATTGAATTGTTATTATTCAAAACATTAAATAGATTCCAAAACTGGTTCTCCAATTCCTTAGCTGTTGGACGATTGGTAGCAATAGGATCCCAACAACGTTTCATTAATTCAGCATATGGTTCAGGTGTATATTCTGGAATTTGTGGACGTTGGCCATAGCAAATAGACAAAGCCAAATGTTCATCATAATCCCTATCAATAAAAGGCGGTTCTCCACTGATCACTTCCGACATTACCATACCAATCCCATAAATATCTGCTGCTTCAGTGAATTCTCTACCGAGCAATACCTACCTCAGGTGCGACAAACGATAAGACACCACATAGTGTTTTATCCGCGGAACTCTGTTCCATAGGACGACACAGACCGAAATCTGAAATTTCTGGGGAAATACCGTATTTGTCAATTGAGTTCAAGATGTTACCGCTGTGGAAATCCTTAAGGTAATAATTTTTCTTGTGGACAAAAAATAGTCCATTGCTGATATTTAAGAACATGCACAGAATCTCGTACCACGTTAGTTCACTGTGTCTTTTTTTTATCACTTCCCTCAAATTGCCATCACTTTTGAATTCAGTAACAATGGCGTATTCTCCATTTTGTAGATCACGGGTCACTCCATAAATCCGGACGACATTGCTAGATATGGTGTTCATTTTCATGTTAATATTAATCTGTAATATTAAAAAATTATATTGCGTGAATATTATTTTATTTTCTCTAAAGAATTTCAATATTTAAAAAATTACCTCATCCAAAAACTCTGAGCTGGCATGGGTTGTATTCCGGAATTTCTTTATCGCTACTATATAATTACTCTTTCTTCGCCATTTAGATTTATTGAAGTTCCAAGGTTGTTTATAATTTATAAGTGGACCATCTTTCCAAATTGCTTTATAAACATTCCCAAACCCACCATGAGCAATAAGTTCAATATTTTCGAAATTTGAGTATTCAATCCATTCAATTAATTTGTACGAACGATCTGCGTTTTGTTGCGAATTTTGAATCATTTCGTCAAGATTTGAATCACCGCTGGTCCAATGTGCAAAGTTATCACGGAAACGTACCGAGTTGCACGACTTACAGTAATCTTTACCATATATTTGACCACATTTTTGACATCTGTAGTATTCATCCATTCTTGTTCGTTCCCAAAGGCGCCTTTAAGCCAGAAAGTTCAATTTCAATATTCCTATAACAAAATACAGCATAAATATTTAAAGTCAGGGATGAGTTTAATAAAAATTTATTCTTTAATTATTAAAAAAAGCTACACAATGCATTAGCCAATAATTCAATAATATCATGCATGTTCGTCTTACCTAAAAGCCATATCTTAGGTAGAAATCTTAACGTTCGTGCTTTCGTAGTACTAATTACTATAATTCCACTAAAATTCTTAATTTAAATATTTATAAAAATAATACAATTGTTACGTCTATTACATGACTTTTTAGTTTTTATTTTATTATTCGTAATTACTTCATGATTGTACAGTACTATACCATATATAGATACTTAATTTTTTTAATTGACTCAAATTTTCACTAATGATAATTTTTAAATAAATCCTAATAAATTACCTTAATAACCCGCTTTTTAAATTCATTTTATTGATTTTTGTTGAATTTTTTTTTTTTATTTTTTGCTAGTTGAAAATTACGTTACTCATTATAATTTTATAGTCTATCTTCAAATAAAAAAAACGAGAGCTTTTTTCTTACAACACAAATATTTGTGTTAGCCCCTATATTTTGTTATTTTGTTTATCTGTCCACTTGCCGCAACAGAATAAATACTTATTTGTGCCACTACTTTTTTTGTACTTGTACAACGAATGATTTTTGTATAACGATAATGAATTGATTTATCATCTAACGCAAAAATTTTATCCTTCAACTACTTATAGATCATATACTCGTCAAAGATTAGAATTAGAATTATTTTTTATTGATCATATTTTATAGAGAAAATTAGAAAATAACAAGTCTAAAAAAAAAATTGATTTAAATAATATTAAATATTACTTCATATTATATTAATTGAAGCGAAATTTTTTTATTATCTTGTATAGTATCTAATATAAACATTAATTTCTTAAATTCTTATTAAGTTTTAAACACGGAATTCTTTAACTAAATCTATTATTATATAACAGTCATAACGATATGTCGGGACGTATATGAAATTTTTAGAAAATATCGTTATATCAAAATTATACAATAATTATATGTTCTCACAAATAGTAGGAAAATAAAATTTTATTGGTATATCAAATTTTTAATAATAGTATATCAGTATATCGAATATCGGTATATCGAGGTTAGACTTGTACTACGATAGAACCTTTAAAAAAACACTTCCGGACTTATCCGTTTCCTAATCTATTTATATGTTTTAACGCCGATCGGTATATCGGAAAAAATACGGTCCGAAACTTAAACTAATTATTTATTCTTTTTTGTTTTTTTTGTTGTAATATCTAGTTTTGGTTAAAGTGTTTTCCTTTTTAGTAATCCATTAATGTAATATTAAAAAATTCGAAAATTCGTCTAAAAAGAATTCGTTCTAATAAAAAAAAAAAAAAAAATTCAGTAAAATATATCTTTAATCAAATGGGAAATAAGTTTAGTAAATTAAGGCGTAAAGATGATAACAAATCTTTAAAAAAATTAGCAAAAAATGGTGATAAATTAGCAATGTTTAATTTAGCCAATAAATATAAAGATAGAGAAGAAACAAAAAAGAATTTAAAAAAAGCCTTTTATTGGTACCAAAAAGCTGCAGAGAATGATAATGAAGATGCAATGTTTAAATTAGCTTCATGTTATATAAATGGAAAAGGAATTAAAAAGAATTCTGAAAAAGCTTTTTATTGGTATCAAAAAGCAGCGGAAAATGATAATGTAGATGCAATGTATAATTTAGCCGCATGTTATATAAATGGTGAAGGAACAGAAAAAAATTTAGAAAATGCCTTTTATTGGTATCAAAAAGCTGCAGAAAATGGTGATGAAGATGCAATGTATAATTTAGCCATATGTTATAAAAATGGAGAAGGAATAGAAAAGAATTTAGAAGAAGCCTTTTATTGGTATCAAAAAGTAGCAGAAAAAGGCAATATAAAAGCAATGTTTAATTTAGCCATAATGTATAAAACAAATGAGAATTTAGAAAAAGCCTTTTACTGGTATCAAAAAACAGCAGAAAAAGATCATGTTAAAGCAATGTTTAATTTAGCCACATGTTATAAAATTGGAGAAGGAACAGAAAGGAATTTAGAAAAAGCCTATTATTGGTATAAAAAAGCAGCAGAAAATGGTGTTAAAGAAGCAATGTTTAATTTAGCCATATGTTATGAAAATGAAGAAGGAACAGAAAAGAATTTAGAAGAGGCCTTTTATTGGTGCCAAAAAGCAGCGGAAAAAAATCATATTAAAGCAATGTTCAATTTAGCCATATGTTATATAAATGGAGAAGGAACAGAAAAGAATTTAGAAAAAGCCCTTTATTGGTATCGAAAAGCAGCAGAAAATGATGATGAAGAAGCAATGTTTAATTTAGCCTCATGTTATGTAAATGGAGAAGGAATAAAGAAGAATTTAGAAAAAGCTTTTCATTTATATCAAAAAGTAGCAGAAAATGGTGACGAGGATGCAATGTTTAATTTAGCCATGTGTTATAGAAATGGTGAAGGAACAGAAAAGAATTTAGAAAAAGCCTTTTCTTGGTTTCAAAAAGCAGCAGAAAAAGGTGATAAAAAAGCAATTTTTAATGTAGCTGTTTGTTACAGAATTGGAGAAGGAATAGAAAAGAATTTAGAAAAAGCCATTTATTGGTTTCAAAAAGCAGCAGAAAAAGATCATACTAAAGCAATGATTAATTTAGCCATATATTATAGAAACGGAGAAGGAACAGAAAAGAATTTAGAAAAAGCCTTTCATTGGTATAAAAAAGCTGCAGTAAATGGGGAAGAAGATGCAATGTGTAATTTAGCCTCATGTTATATAAATGGAGAAGGAACCAAAAAGAATTTAGAAAAAGCCTTTCATTGGTATCAAAAAGCAGCAGAAAATGGTAATGAAGATGCAATGCTTAATTTGGCCACATGTTATATAAATGGTGAAGGAACCAAAAAGGCTTTAGAAAATGCTTTTCAATGGTATCAAATAGCAGCAGAGAAAGGTAATAAAGAGGCAATATTTAATTTAGCCATATGTTATAAAAATGGAGAAGGAATAGAAAAGAATTTAGAAAAAGCCTTTTATTGGTATCAAAAAGCAGCAGAAAGAGGTCATGTTAAAGCAATGACCAATTTAGCTTCATATTATGAAATTGGAGAAGGAACAGAAAAGAATTTAGAAAAAGCTTTTTATTGGTATCAAAAAGCAGCAGAAAATGGTATTAAAGAAGCAATGCTTAATTTAGCCACATATTATGATAATGGAGAAGGAA